CTTCGACCTTTCTTAAAAAATCATCTTATTCTTTCTCTGAAACTGAGACAAAAAATAATAGCCTAATGGGAAAGATCATTTTTTTTTGCTACGATGCGGTATAATTTGTTAAAAAAAATAATGATATTTCAATTTTTTACAATTTTCTCTAAAATGAGTCGAAATCGATGCGTTTTCATCAAAATGATTTCTAAATCGTTCTGTATGATTTTTTTAGTGTTATTGAATCGATATTCTGCACTAAGAAAATTCAGGTTTTTTTTCTTTTAGAATCAGTCATTTAAAAAATAAAAGGCCAAAAACTTTTTTTTCGATTTTTTTTTCTCGTTTGTAGAATAGTATTATCCAAATTTTGCACAAAAATTGAAAAAATTGGTATAAAATTACGGATTTACAAAAAGAAATGTGTTTTTCGTTTTTAATATAGTGTTATAGTAAAAGTAAAAAAAAAAAAAAAAAAAGAATGAGTTTTAATATTTTAATTAATTTTTCTTCGTCCAATGTTGTTTTGATCTAACAGTGTTTATCCCCCCTCCTTTCCATTTTCCTCTTGTTGCGGCTCGAGTGACATATCTAACATATGTATGTAGCCTGGCGGAAAAAAATGTTGAGTACCCCTTAGCTGGACTGTTCAAAATTAACCGGCAAATAACCTTTCAACAATGATGCGTTGAATGAGATTAACAGACTGAGAAACCTCTGTCTAGCGATAACTAAAAAGTAAAAAATAAATTAATGGTAAAAAAAAACTTTTTAAAAAACAAGCTTTTATTTAAATGCTCTAAAAGAAATAAAATAAACTTTTCTTTTAAAACTTTTTTTGCTATCAACTTATAAAGTCGTTATACAATTTATGATATAAAAGCTTGTCACGAGATTTACCTGTGTACATAAACAAGCAAATTAAATAACTTGATCTGATTGATTTTAACTTTTAAAATTTTCAGACTAAGTAAATATGAGTACTTAAATCTCGTGACAAGCTTTTTTATCATAAATTGTATAACGACTTTATAAGTTGATAGCAAAAAAATTTTAAAAGAAAAGTTTACTTTATTCCTTTTAGAGCATTTAAATAAAAGCTTGTTTTTAAAAAAGTTTTTTTACCTTTAATTTATTTTTTTATTTATAAACTCCCCGTAACTCTCTTATGAGTCGAGTTTTGAAAACACCTTCCTAAGCTGATCTCTACTCTGCAAAAGCAACACATTGTTACACATTTTTTGTAATGAACGCTTAAAATAGTGTAAATAATTTATATCTGGAAGTGTAATACGTTAACATTAATTTCTGTTGTATTTATTTTATGTTAAAATTGTAATATAAATAGTGATTACACTGATCAAAGCAATAAATTAGAAGCGAGCATGCACTGGCCCCTGGCATAGACAAAACAAAAAGAGAAAGTTTTGCTTCACACATAAAAGATAGATACATGCTGCCCCTGACTTTTTTGTATACGTGATTATACGCGTGCTACCCTGACGGTTTTTGCAGTGCACCCCAGAATATCTTGCACATTGCAGAATTTTTTCTACTTACTTGACAAGTATCGTTATATTTTGGACACTTGACACAATATCTTTATAAATTATAGCCTATGTGCTATTCTGATGTATAAGCTATATTATTGTAAAGTTTCATTAAAACCCATTCAGTGGTTTTTGCGTGAAAGAGTAAACATTCAACCATACATACAAACTTTCCCGTTTATACTAATACTATGGATAGAAGAGGAAATATAAAAAATATTATATATAATGTAAGATGTGTACTCCGAACTTACGCGAAAGGTGCGTGAGTGAGTGAGGGAATACTAACGTCGCACTGTTCGCGACAGGTGGTACTGAGTGATAAGCGCGTAAATCGGGATAAATTTCGCATATAAATACTTATAAATTATTTTTAGTTGAAGCCGGAGACGAAAGAAAATAATATTTAAAAAAAGATAATAAATTCTTCGATAACACAAATACAAAATCGCAAACCAAAGTTATCTTGACGCAGAAGGTTTCATAAAGTCTAACAAGTAGTCTCTCTGTCGGATAAAACATTTTTTTTTCTCCCTCCAAATTTCCTCGTAGCATGCCAATAAATGTTTTTCCTCCTTGTTTTATTGAAAAAATAAGCTCTTTGTTGTAGTCTGTATTTTCTAAAATTTGTAACCCTTTTTCAATCCAACTGAGAAGAGTTGGATCTACAGGCTCTGTTCAAAGTCTACAACTTTTCAACGCCTTGCCCTTACTCGTGAATTTCTATGAGCTCATCACTAGTCAACTCCTGATGGTGGATCCAGTAGTTCTTGAACTTCTGAATGTATTTACCTGGCAAGATAGACAACTTCCTCAATCACATTTCAAATTTCATCAAACTCTGTCACTGATTCCACCCGAGTTTTAATGAAAAGAGTTGGAGAGATTTTAAATTCACTTAACTCCGAATTCACGCAATTTGGGATAGCGAATGTGTGTGTAATGCATTATTAAATCTTTACAGAGACAAGAAGATTAAAGTGTTTCTGGAATACAAGCCACGTGATATACATAATATTTTACACACATAATATTTCAGAAATTATTTACAGACATAACTTCTTAAGCCTGAAAACTTGGGTAAAGACCCTTCGTAAAATTTGAAATTTCAATTTTTTTTCTTTTTCTTGACACAGTTTCAAATTTTCAAAAGCTTTCAATCAAAATAAAATACACTGCTGGACAATTGCTAAGGACGGATCACAAATTGCTATGTAGCATAACATTAAGCGAGACATGAGGCCTAGTAGGATAAAATATAGTTGCCACACTGTTCAGACATTAGAATAAAGAATATTTATTGTTCTGGAAAGTACAAAAGCTGTGAAACATCTGAAAGACAAAAAAAATTTTATTTGATCTGCGCACGGAGAAATGGAACAATGCATCTAAAAGTCAGCAGGCACCTTAAAGAAAGGTATCAGTACGGGATATGTCCACCGTAGAGTGTGATGCAACATTCAACACGTCGTACCATACTTTGCGCAACATTATCCAGCAGCTGTTGAGGCAATTTATCTCATTCCTCTGTAAGTGCACGGATGAGGGTGTTCTTGTTTGTCGGAGGATAGTTTCGACCAGCAACTTGCCTCCCCAAAGCATCCCACACATTTTCAATGGGGTTTAGATCTGGAGAACGCGTTGGCTATATGAAACGTTGAATACCCTCGCTGTCTAGACAATCCTGAACAGCGAGTGTTCGATGACATGTTTCGTTGTCGTTCATAAAAACAAATTTATCACCGACAGCACCACGGAAAAGACGAAAATGAGGAAGTAGAACTTCATCAATGTATCGTTGGCCCGTCATAGTCCCATTCGCAACCACATCTAGGCGCGTGCGGCCATTGATCTTGATGCCGGCTCACACCATGATACTGGATGTCGGATATCGGTCCTTTTCCTAGATATTTTCTGGACGATAAGCAGTACCGATCTCGCGCCAGATCAGTTGGCGTCTACAATCCGATGACAGACTGAACCTTCTCTCATCTGAGAATAGTACGCATGCCCAGTCCTGTTCAGTCCAATTGTGATGCTCACAACACCAATGCAAATGGGCAGTACGGTGCTGTCCGGTCAATGGGACACACACAACAGGTCTGCGTGCCTATAGTCCCCCTCCCCTCAAACGTCTGGCAACAGTTTTTCGGGAGATCTGCTTTCCTGAGGCAGCAAGAAACTGATTTGCCACCTGCTGAGCTGTGGTGCGCCTGTTCGTTTTTGCTGATAGGACGATATATCTGTCTTCTGCAGGCGTCGTACTTCTAACACGATCTCCCCCGTGCCGTCTACTACACATTCCAGTAGTTTTAAATGACTTCCACAGCCGTGAAACAACGCTGTGAGCGATGTCGAACTCCCTGGCAACATCTGTTATTTTTCGCCCTTTTTCGATCTTTCCAATAATTCGGCCACGCATAAAATTATCTATGTGATGTCGGGAAGACATGCCAAAAATTTTAAGTTCGTCTATTAAATCTTTCCTGTAAAACTTTGACTTGAAACAACAACTGTCAACACGCGTCAAAACCTTTAAAGCTCTTATGAACGCTATCACGTGATGAACAGACGTGGAAAAAAATTGCATATACTCATACTTCTTCTTACTAATATCCCGCACTTATTCTAATTTTCCACATTTTGCTTCCTTTCATTTTGTGGTTGCTATGGATGATAGTGTTATCCGTCCTTAGCAATTGTCCAGCAGTGTAATTATTCCAATTGTAAAATAATACACACTTTCAATTAACAGATATCAACAAAATGTCACCAAATCTTAAAATTCAGTATAAAAGCTTTATATGTTGGTTTTTCCAAGAATGTAGGGGTGATTGTCTGTTTGAAGATTATCCAAAAGTGATATGCTGTAGAAAATTTTCTCGAAGATAATTTAAATGGAAACACTAAAAACAGGCGTACCAGTAGCACTGATGGACGTAACCTATGCATCCTTGAAAGATTCCTGATGATTTATTCCTGGATATTTAGTATGCCACAAATACAAAAATTTAAAATACCCATTAAAGAGAAGCATTCAGTTATTCCGCAGAATACCGTGGAATTTCGCAAAATAACTGATTGAGAGCAAAAGTGTGTAACATATTTCACTCGTTGCAAAGATATATTTACTGAAATAATTCATGATAAAACGTTTAAAAAAAACAATGAACAATTTTACATTAAAACAAGTAATATAAAAAAATTAAGTCAATTCCTACTTAGGTCAACAAAGAAAAATTTTATTTTAGTAACTTTTTATTAAATAGGTACAATTCATATAAATATATACATACATAGGACAGAATCAAACTATTGGCAAAATAGAAAGTGGTTTTCATTGCAATTTTCATTTTCCTTTCTGGAATAATGGAATTCCAACTCTTTCTGGAGAGTTGGAATAACATTCTTATTTTTGTTGCTATAATAAAATAGTGTAGCAAAACTAAATAATCTCAGAAATTAGGTCATCCCTGGTGGGATTTGAACCCACGACCTGCAGATTTGAAGTCGAACGCGCTATCCATTGCGCTACAGGGACACACCGAGCGAGTTTCCTTTTTTCATGCTGTTGGACTATTATTTTTGTTTGTTACTATTTATTTATTAACTATTCAAATATTAATGAATTAATATTTGAAAAAACTGTATTAACATCAAGTGTCAACCGCTATAAGTGTAAAAAAATATATTTGATTTGGAATGGATGAATAAAAATATTTTATTAAAGATTGAAAACTTTAACACAATATATATATATATTGTGAACTCTAATAGTAGGAATTGAAAAAGAACGTAGTCTTGTAAATTGACTTACGATAGATAATTAAAATTTCTCTAAAAAGAATAAAGGGAAAGTGTAATATAATATTTTTATAAAAATTATCTAGACATTACCAAAAAATAACAGAATATAGTGAAGCAGTAGTTGTACATTTAAACTTTGACAACTTATAATAAATAAATTACTAGACTGCTTAAATGTAATGGCAAAAACATGCTTAAAGAATGTTTCGAAAACGTTCTTCTTTAATACTTTATCAAACTTTAATACTTTAATGATTAGGCAATTATTATTCTGTAAAGCTTTTAGTTAAACTGTAAAATGCATACATTTGAACTGCCTTAGTCATTTTTTCAGGAAATAAAATAATAATATGATTGCCAAATTAACTATAATTATAATAATGTTTGTTCAACTCATTAATGGACCTATAAAATCTATTGGGGTTTTTTTCACTGATTACTACACTTTTAACATTTCTATTTTGTTCCTTTCAAAAAATCGACAAATTTTTATATCTTAGTTTACTTCTTTTCATTTTAATTTGTCCTTAAAAAAATTTTCCGACCATTTATCAACGTCAAACACGTAAGAAATTTGTTACTGATTTTAAGATATTCCAGAATCTCTAACAGGACATGGAAATTTTAAGAGCCATTTATCTAGGTTTAATTTAATTGCTAATGATATTTGTTCTTGGGGTCCGGATGCTGAAACTGCGGAACATGTCTAGTATTGTAACCTACGTTTTTGTAAAAGAGAAAATTTTAAAAAGTTGAAACGTTTATGTATTTCCTGGCCACCTTTTTTCTCTTTGCTGGTCAATTGTACTGAAATCCTTAATGTCTTCAGAAATTTTGTTCGCTATATGGATTTTTAAAGTTTTATAGAGGTACCTCCCCTTCCTCTTCCCTTAACTTTATTTTCTGTTTGTCTCTTAAATGTATTTTTAATTTTGTTTTAAATTTTATAATGACGTTAGCACTTACGTCTATAAAACTCATGCTAGGCAATGTGGAGTATGAAAAGTTTTGCAAATAAATTTATTTTAAAAAAATTGTATTTACAAATATTTTTATTTTTATTTTTTTTAGATGAAGCTCGTCCTGCTCCTCAAGGTAATCCAATAATTTTTTCCCTTTGAACTTTCTTCAGTTATCCAATGAGTTTCACTTATTTCAACCTTACTAAATTGATTATTATTTTGAAAACGCTAAGAAACACGCTATATCTAAAAGTCTCTTAAGGTATCCGACAGCATTCCGAACCGTGATTTTGCGAAAGCGTATAACTGGATAATATTTATGATAGGTTAGAAAATGTATTTAAAATTGTTCTGAGAATAGTATTACAATAAAAAATTATTCAAGTACACTATACTTTGACAAAGAAGGAACATAGAATGACCAAATTATTCTTCTTCGTGAAAAATGCTTTTATTATAATAATATTTTGCCTGTATATGGCTCAGACAGAGGCTCAAGTAGAACTTTTGAAATATGTAACTTAGAAGTGAGTTTTTTCTATGTTTTATACCACAGCAGAGGGGAGCAATTTTAAGAAACAAAACCACCGATAATTATTTCAATGGGCGGTAACTCAAAAAGTAATGTGAATTTTTAAAATAAAATCCTAGTTCAGACTCTCTGGAGAAGTTTTTACTTTATGTAAGCGAAATATTATTATTTTTAGAAGCATTTTTTATAAAAGGAGAAATGTTTGAAAAAAGATTATTCTAAGTTAATATTTTTTGAAAATATTGTATTTAAATATTTTTTTTAAATTTTTTAATCTAATCAAAGTGACACTAAATATCATGAAAATTATCCATTTATGCTCTTTTTTAAAATCACGGTTCCGAAGGTACTCAGATACCGTAAGTATAACAAAAGTATCTGCAATTTTTTAAGAGTACACCGAATGTTTAAAATTTCCCTCTCTTTAATTAGATCCCTTTCTTGCAAAAATTTATCGAAAGTTTGAAATTTCTAAATTCACTCATAAAATGTTTTAATTACTTGATATTTTTTCAATGTTTGTTATGAATTGAAATAAATTATTTTATTTTATCCGATAATTTTTTTTAAAAAAAATGTTGTGCAGTATAAGACAAAAAAAGGTTTCAAAGAAAAAATTGGAAAGTAGAAAATTTTTAATAAATGTTCACTGAAATGAATAAAGACGCAGGGGGGAATTTCAGTTCATTTGAATTGAAACATTCCACTTAAATATCATTAAGTGCTGAAAATTGTGTTATCCAGTTTTGATTGAAAGGAATATTTTTTTTTGTTGAAACCTACTATACACACACACAAATGTTCGTTTAATTCAAGGCAGCGTTTCTCAAACTGTGCGTGCGCCCCTCCTGTGGGAGATCCTAGTTAAGGGTACGAGCAAAATGAAAAGATTGTTTTAAAAAATTATTAATGTACTGAAAGGAAGCAAAACAAAATATATTCTGACATAATAAAAATAAAATGCATATTTACGATGATAAAATACCTTATAAATGTATATACGTGCTGCACAATGTATTTGATAATTAATTTATCAATTACCAGTGACTCCATGGGCTTGTCTTATAAACTTTAATATACAAAATTTAATCCTTATCTTGATAATTTGTACGGTTTATAATTGAGGTTGTATTGTAGCTTTAATGCCAAAATACATTGTTATTACTTGGGGTAGGAGGACAATGAAAATTATGATTGAAAATATTGAAAGTTTGAGAAGCACTGCTGTTAGAAGGTCACACAGTAAAAATGAAGCATAGATTCGTGACTGACATCTCTCAAAACAAATTTGAATATTTTCGGTGCCAAAAGTTTATCAACTTAATTTTTAAAATTCCATGATACCAATTGACCGAGTTACTAGTGCATCGCGCTTCCCCACCATAGGTCCGAGATTCAAACCCCGGGCTAGAGAAGATTGACACTGGGTTAACACTGAGGGTATCGCGTCAGACTGACCGGAACATCTGCTCATGCACCTCAGGGACCAAGGTCACGTCTATTGAGTTGGAAACAGTAGGCCTTGCCCTTGTGTGGGTTGTTGCGCCACTGAGTTCAGTTTATGATACTAATTATGATCCTTCTTGCACGTGATCTGATATATTGTAATTTAAAAATTTTCAAAATGATTCTGTGTGATTAAATTAACCATTATCCTTTTCGTGACGATGTATTGATCAACGGAAAACATTGTAGAGACATGTGTATCATATATGCATCCTCCACAAATGTCATCAGCAGCCGGGTGATGCAATGGTAAATCGTGTTTAGTACTGGTTCTACAGGATTGACCATCCCCAGAGAAAAAGTGCATTGAATGGCCTGCCTCCGATAAGGGGGTTTGAGACTGGTTTATATATGACCCATGCATCGTGAAATGGTTTAAATTGCAACACCAGGGAGGAAAGAAGACATAAATGTGAAAATCATGCGAAACAAAAGCAGATGGTGGGATATGTAAATGATTAGAATTGATGAGCATTTAAATCACCCACTAAAGAAACGGCCTCTCAAAGACTTTATTAAAGATCCAGCGGGATTCTTATTCAAAAATTGATTTTAATGTTGTTTGGTTTTAAAAAGATTGGTTGAAGAAGAAAGGTTTACCCGCGCGCATCGGAAGACAATATAGCGTCAGTATTTTCACCTACGATTTTTTTTATTTCCAACGGCAGGAACGTAAGACAAATTACATAAAAAATAAATGAAAAAAAAATAACAGGAAAAAATCTATGCACCCATTTGGTCAGTAGCATCCGCTTAGAGCTCCATCAAACTATTGCAGCTTAGCGAAGGGCAGAGCAAAACGTGTCTATAGCTTCCCAAAGATTACAGAGCATACAACGTGGGTCATTATGAACTTTTATGAAATATAAATGCCCTAGCAAGACAGTCATGACCAGTAGCAGGGCGGAATTCTGCTACAAATTGTATTCTAGGACAGACTGAAATTTTTTATAATATTCCTCCAGGATTTCTTGGAGTTTTTATATAATAGTTCATTTTGCAATTTTTAAAAATTAACGTAACTGACTATGTATTGCAAAAAAAGGTACTTTATCATTAGCATTTAAAGTAATCGCTGAAAAAGCCGACTTGTTTTGAACTACACTGCTCAAAACAATTAGGGGAGCAAGCAAAAAAGTGAAGAAAACCGTGTGAGACAGACACGTATTGGCATACAATGCATAGTACACGCGTATCAATGCGCAATACAGAAAAAAAGGCGTAAAAAATTTAGAATTAAGCTTTAATTCTTTGAAAATATGGAAAAAACATGAAAAGATGATTTAGGGCAACAATTTGGTTACATGTAAACGACAAAAAAAGGTACTGTTTATACATGATGCATGAGTTTTAATAGGGTGTGTGGTCTCCTCGAACAGCTAAGACTGCTGCACACCTGTATGCCCTGGATGCGATGAGGTTTATCGATCAGACTTTGGGGAATACTGTTCCACTCCTCTAGAAGTGCAATCTCCAAGTCTCGGACAGTAGCAGGCGGCCTTGGTCGCGCAGCAATGCGTCTTCCGATGATGTCCCAAAAATGCTCGATTGGATTCAGGTCAGGAGAGCACGCTGGCCATTCCATACGCTGTATTGTTTCAGCTTCAAGCATGTTCTCCACCAGAAGAGCTCAGTGTGGTTGGGAATTATCATCCTGGAAAACAAAAGAATTTCCAATGGCTCCAGCGTAAGGGATGACATGAGGTCGAAGTATCTCATCTGCATACCTGCGGC